TCCCCATCTTTCAGTGCTTTAATCTAAGAAAATCTTATTTTAAAAAATGTCAGAAAACCTCTGGTACCTCCAGCATATCACTGAGTCACTGAGTCTGTTGGAAGAGCCCTAGACCAAAAGAAAGATTAGCAAGAGAGAGCCTGGCAAATGTGTCTATGTTTTACACAATCCTAGAAAGGTCAGATATATGAGGCCCAAAAGGCAGAAGGAAGCCTGATGAAGAAGAGGGCCACCACAGAGAAATATGACCTAAAGGTAACCTAACTAGAGGGGACCTACGGAGACTTATTTGATCAGATTCTTTTCAGCATCCCTGCATGTTCTTTAGTCCCTAAATTTTTCAGGTGTTTGGAGGACATCTCTGGAATGACAGTCTTATGGCCTGCTTCAGGGGAGCCTTCCAGTCTCTACTGTTTTCTCAATGTCCCAGTGCCTCATTTGAGAGTAACATGCCCCAGATCTCAGCAAACCATGCCGACTTAATCAACAGGCATTGACCTCCTGATGTCACCCCCTCTTTATTTAACAAATTTGAATTTTGGAAATTGTAAAATGTTAAAAGCATAGACTTTTAACTGGGGTAATACAGTCTTGGATCTTCCATTTACTGGTTTATGGTTTGGGCAAATTAAGTGACTCTTTTAAATCTTATTTCCTCTTTGATAAAATGGAGGTACTCACCAATGTTTAAAATGCTTGGTCATAGTTACAACTGGTTCCTTATAATTTTTTTGCCTGAATTTCCTTCATGCCAGAAGAAGCCATAGGAAGAAGCTGTTTGTTCATTTGTAAATCACGTTTATGTCCTTGCCAAAAATCCTTTACCAACTCTCCAAAATGGGGCATCAAAATATCAGAAAAGGTCTTTTCAGGATCTGCCATTCGCTTTCTCCTCCCAACCAGGTCCTCCCCATCAGAGTTCTCCTTTATGCCCCGAGTTCTACTTACTGCCCTTAGAATCCTTCTGCTCTTTCATAATCTGATCTATAGAAAAGCTCCCATTACCTAAAACATCTTTCTGTAACCCAAATAGCCTCAAGCGAAATATCACTTTTCCTAACCTCTTTCCCACTCAGTTACTGTGTTCAACACACATGAACACATGCACCACTCTGTGGTGTTTTCATTATACACCTAAATAAATTGTCTCACATTGATATTACTAATTGCTCCCAGCCACAATGACTGTGTGCCAGACATAGCACCAGACATATCAGATACCTTATCACATCTTCCACTCCCAGCAAATCTATGAGATACTTTTTATTATTCTTACTTTACAAGGGAGAAGAAAAATACACTAGCAAAAAAATACAGTGACAAATGGATGCAGTTATTTATTATGACATTAAACATAACGGCAAGAAAATGGAGGCAATCCAGACACCCAGGGAGAGGATTGGTTGAACAAATTATGGCACAAATACAAGAAAATGCTTTCAGTATATCAAAGGAACAAGCAAGCTTTGCCTATAAGTATATGGAATTATCTCTGAGAAAGTTTTTTAAAGCAAGGTACCTTAAATTTGCTAAGGAAAATATTGAAAAGAAAAACTAAAATCAAATAATATTCTTAAATTGATTAAAAGGTAAATATATAAAAGTATATAAGGTAGTTTGAGCTGACTCACTCCCACATGACCCTCCTTTGTTTACATTTCCTCTCCTGCTGATCCTAGTTTGCTTCCTAAATAGTCACTCTTCAACTGTCTTCTTTTTCTTTTTTCTTTTTTCTTTTTTAAAATCTAGTTACAACATATGAGAGAAACACATAAGTTTCTCTTTCTGGGTCCGTCGTATTAACACAGTGATCTCCAGTTCCCTCCAGTTTCTGAAAATGATTTAATTTCCTTCTTCTGTTGGTCTGAATACTACTTCATTGTGCGCATATGCTATGTTTTACGGTGCACTCATTTGATGGACAGCAGAGCTGATTCCACTGATGGATTGTTTTGAATACTGCAACAATATATAGGGTGTGCAGGTATACCTGTTGTGTGATGAGATTGATTCTTCTGACTACCTACCTTGGAAGTCATACAGCAGGATCATACGGTAGTTTTGTTTGTTTGTTTGGTTTTTTCTTAATTCCATATTGATCCCACGAATTTATATTCTCAACAGTATATGAAGCTACTTCCTCTCGCCTTCCTTTCAATATTTGTTTTTCTTTCCTTCCTGATAGCCAGGTTGGGTAACACTTCATCTCAATGTAATTCTGATTTACAATTGCATTGATGGATTAAGATGTTCAGTGTGTTTCTCACATATGTAGTGGATATTTACTTCTTTTGAGAAGTGTCTCTGCAGTTCATTTGCCTATTTTCTGACTAGATGGTTTGCTCTTTGCATATTTGTTTGTTTGTTGTTTTCAATTCTTTTTGCCTGTCAATACCCCATTGAATGAATACCTGGCAAACATTTCTCCTCTTCCGTCAGCTGCCTTTTCACTCTGTTAACTATTTCTTTGTAGTTCAGAAGCTTTTCAATTTCATTCAATCCTGTTTGTCTTCTTGCTATAACTCTCAGTGCTTTTAGAGCCCTATCCAGAAAGTCTCATCACCTTTGCAAAATCTTCAAGTGTTTTCCATGCATTTTCCTCTAGTATTTTCAGAGTATCAGGTCTTATGTTAAGGACTTTGATCAACTTGTAGCTCATTTTTGTTAGGACGAGAGCTAAGAATCTCCCTCTTATTCTTCTACATAAGGATATCTAGCTTTCCTATTACATTTGTAGAAGAGCTGTGTTCTCTCAAATGCTTTTGAAGAATCAAATGGTTGAGGCTGAGTATACTTATTATTGGCTCTCCTATTTTATTTGCTCCATTAGCTGTTTTCCAGTAGCCTGCTGTTTCCATCACTGTGGCTCTGTGATATAATGTGAAAGTAAGGACTGTGGCACCACCAATACTGCTCTTATGCTTGAGATCACTAAGATCACTGTAGCTTTTGGGGAGTTTTTGTGCCTTCTCCTTGTAGGACTTTCTTTCCTATAAGAATATCCTTGAAATTTTAATGGGAATCTGCATTTATGTAACTTTCAGTAATATTCAATATTAACACTGTTGTGTTCTTGTGTGTAAGGCAGGAACACAGTGCTGATTCTGCTGATCCATGTACATGGGAGATCTTTTCATTGTTTTATTATCTTCTTCAATTTTGTTTTTAGAGATTTCAACGTAGAGATCTTTAGCCTCCTTAGATTTGTTCCTAAATGTGTTTCTTTATTTTAAGCTGTTGTGAGTTTGATTACTCACTCACCTAGTCTGTTTCTCAGAATATTCATTAAGCATGTACAGTGAACCTACCAATTTTCATGTTGCCTTGTAGTCTGGTGCTTTGCTGAATGTGTTCATCAGATCTAAACATTCTGAAGAGTCTTTAGGGTCTTTTTGGCTCTTATGTGAAAATAGAGACAGTTTTATTTCCTCGTTTCCTATTTATATCAATTTTATTTCTTTTTCTTTCCTTATTTTTTCAGGCTCAGAATTTAAGCACTGTACTGAATAAGAAAAGAGATCATCATGGGCAACATCTTTGTCTCTCTTGTTCCTTATGTTAGAGGAAATACTTCCAAAACTTCTCCATCTAGTGTAATATTGGCTATAATTTTGTTTTACACAGAGGAATATTCTTTCTAGTCTTTATTTATTTAGGACTTTTATCATTTTTTTATTATTCAATTAGCATGTGCTTGTATGGTTTCTTTATTTTCTCTTGCTGATGATTTCTAGTTTTATTCTGTTATGAGACACAATAAATTATGTTCTTTCTTTGATTATGGTTTCTTTATTTCCTAAAATGTGACCTGATTTGAGAAAATTCACTTGCTATTGAAAAGAATATGTATTTACCTACCTGTTGAATAGAATGTTCTATAGGTGTCTATTAAGTATTTTTGACCTATGAAGTAATTTTACCCTGAAACTTGAGTTGGTTTTTATTTTGTCTCAATGATTTATCAATGAGAATAGACTATTGAAGTTATGTTCTAATACTATATGCTAACTTTAGATATTTTTTGGTCCAATACTGTTAGCTTTTTAAAAATTCTGTTAAGCAGATGCATGTGTATTTATAATCATTACATGCTTATGATGGATGGTTGACATTGTCAGTGTGCAGTGGCCGTCTCTATACCTTTGAATTTTGTCTGAAAGTTTGCTTTGTCCGGTGTAAGCATAGCTGTTCCTGCTTGTTCGGGGATTCCATTCAATTAGAATATCATTTTTCTCTCTTTTGGTTTCAATTTGCATATCTTTCCCAACAAGATAAGCTTCTTGCAAACAACGATTTGATTCTTGATTTTTTTTTAATACATTAAGCCAATCCACATTTTTTTTGGAAAGTGAAGATCTTTTGAGATTAGGGTTATTGAAAAATATTTACTAATTTCCCCTTTCTTCATATTAGAAGCTTGCTACATGCTCCATTTGATCAGCCCATGTCCATGCATATGTGAGCAACACAAATTGTATTCACTGGATTATAGAAACAAAAAATGTTATTAAGTTGGGAAAGAATATGGGTGAATGATGAACCCAGGAAAAGCTAGGGGAGGAAGAGCTGGAAATTCAGACATTATATGCATTTATGAAATTTTCAAATAATTAATACAATTAATGTTGATACTTTAAAATTATCATTTGTAGTCTCATTAGTAATGAGATTGATTTTTTCCCAGCTCTCCTGATTGTGTATAACTTTATTCCTGTTTTGTGTACAGTAGTTCTTTGAGTATCTTCTGCAATGCTAGCTTGCTGGTTTCGTTTATGCTTATCAAGAAAGGCTTTTGAAGGGTAACTTTGCTGGCTATAGTAATCTTACTTAATAATTCATCTGTTTTTTTCTTTTTTCTTTTATTTTATTTCTTTATTAAGAAAAATTTTTCATTCATTTTACATACCAATCAAAGATCCCCCTCTTCCTTCCTCCAGCCCCCGCAACCTCCCCATCCCAACCCACCCCCCATTCCTCCCCAACAAGAAGACAAGGCTTCTCATGGGGTGGCACATCCAGCAGAGGCAAGTCCAAGCCCTTCCCCTTGCCTCAAGGGTGCACAAGGTGTCCCATCATAGGTAGTGGGCTCATGCCGGCTCATGCACCAGGGATGGATTCTTATCCTACCGCCAGGGGGCCCCCCAAGCAGATCAAGCTACACAACTGTCTCGCTATGCAGAGGATCTAGTCCAGTCCCATGCAGACTCCACAGCCAATTGATGCAACTTTCATAAGTTCTCACTAGTTTGGTTTGGTCATCTCTGCAGTTTTCCCCATCATGATCTTGGTGCACTTGCTCATAGAATCCCTCTTCTCTCTCTTTGACTGGACTCCTGGAGTTCTGCTTGGTGTTTGGCTGTGGATCTCTGCATCTGCTTCCATCAGTCATTGGAGAGAAGCTCTGTAATAACAGTTAGGGTATTCACCAGTCTGATCACTGCGGCAAGCCAGTTCGGTTCAAGCACCCTCTCTACTGTGGTGATATTTTATTTGTGCTGAAATGTGGTGATATTTTATTTGTATGTTAATAAATAAAGTTTGCCTGGAGATGAAATAAAAGTCAGGTGGTGGTAGTACACGCCCTTAATCCGATCACATGGCAGGCAGAGTCTCTGTGTGTTCAAGGACACAGCCAAGCGTGGTGACACACATCTTTAATCCCAGTACCATCCATATCAACTTGGAGGTCTGTACAGACAGGCAGTGACGAGGAAGTGAGGTGGCTGGGCTAAGAGCCAATGAGAAGGCAGAACAGCAAGGCAATAAAGGCTCAGGTTAGACAGGAAGAAGCTGGTTCTCTTGGGAAGCTATGGTGGCGTGGTGAGCTAAGGTTAGTTGTTGGCTATTCCTATTTCTCTGATCTCTACGGCTTTCATCCCTTTGTATTTGGCTCTGTGTTTCTTATTTAATAAGACTGTTTTGAAATTCATCTATACTCCACTATTTTTAGTAGTCCATGCTGGGGTCATCCTTGGGGATTCCCATCTGCTTTAAGCCATCAAATACATCTAAATATGCTTTCCTTTTTTGTAGTGTTTCCACCAACAGGTAGGCCGTGTTTCTGATAAGTTTAACTTTGTGAGTAACTCAGAATGTCTCTTTGCAGCTTTAAGTCTTCTTTCTTTGCTCTGTACTATTAGAATTTTAACTATAAAATGGTATAGGAAAGTGAAGTCAGAAGTTATCTGAATGAAAATGTCCTGGTAATTTTGGAACCTGAGCAGTAGTTACACTGAAGTTCATTTTGTAATTTTATATTTTGGGTATTCCTGAAGTTGTTCATTAAACTTGATTACCATTTAACTTGATTACCTAATTCTTGTATCTGGAAAGTAAGTACTTATATTTTTATGAATCATAACTCCTTTCCACTAGTATGTGATTCTTTGCACTGAAATAATGTTTTAAGACATCTTATTTAATGTCGATATAGTACATAATTTAGTATATATTAACTCTTACATAAAAAAGTTTTGGAGGGAATTTTATAAATAAGCTAAGGCAGAGGACATAAAGATACATATGTGCCAAAGCAGGGCATGGTGGTGCAGATTGGTGGTTCAGCACTCAGAAGGAATGGTGTTCAAGACCACTTTCCTCAAAACCAAAAATGGATAGGGGGAACAGGAGGGAAAAAAGAGGACAGGGGGGCAAGGAAAGAAGAGAAGGAGGGGAAATGGGCCCTAACATTGTATTAGCAGTCACCCCTGTGTTCACCAATCAGTGTTGTCTTGATTCCTGTTTTGTTGTAGCAGAGTCGGGTCATACTTTTTTTCCTATATGATAGTTCTAAAATTTGCAGATAAAAAAAATCATTCCATTACTTCCAAGTCCTCTGCCACCTATGCTCCTCACCGGCGGTGACAGTCTAGTGTCTCGGAAGTGACTGCCGCTGAAGTGGTTGCCACAGATTACTTGGTTGACCTTGGCTTTTAAGGGTTCTCATAAAGGATCAAAATGTACTTTTTCAGTATTCCTCACCGACCTGAGTAACAAGTATTCTATCAGAACTCTCAAGCAAGGGATAGAACTAGACCACAAGCTGCTTTTGTCCTTAATGTTACTATGACTTAAGCACAAATTCCAAAGATTGTAAATAAAACAAAAACAAAAACAAATCTAAATGTAAGACTTGAGATAGATGAACCTAAGAGATCATAGTAATTTTTCCCAAAGTAATTATTCATAAAGGTATTCTGAGTAGGGTACTGTCAATTGTGAAAATACTATCCAAAAATAACTTGCTAAATGCCTCAGGTAGTGATGAAATTAGTCACTCAATGTAGCTTTAATCAATAAATCGTGGTTGATTTATGACTCATGTATCACCTCATAATTGTACAGCATTTGACAGCTTACAAATCACTTATACATACATTACCCCATTTTCATCTCACAACAAGCCTTCAAGAGCACTTAGATTATTGTGTTCATTTTATGCAGAAAGAAATTGCTCCGCAGATGGCCCACAGACCTCCCCGTGATTCCACTGCTGATGGGGATGGGGAGACAGAGACCCAAATACAGGCTCTGCAGCCTGCTGTTCAGCCATGCTTTTACAGGACAAGGATGCCCAAAGTAAAGAAGAGCCACTGATATGGCTAGGACTTAATATGATGAGGGACAATTTCCCACTAATGCCTAATCTGCTTTGTGAGTTACAAGCCAAACCAGTCAAATTCTTCATAATAATGCAAGACAGCCTTTCAGGAATCGTAAATCAAAGCATGGTGATCCAAATAAATGAAGAAGAAATGCTAAATGGCCTACCCTGTTTTATAGCAAATGTTCTTAATTCTAAGAACCATATTACAAATGAAAAGGTATTGCATATGTTACATTTATTAAATTTTCATACTCCCTACAACACAGTTATGAATTCTGAATGAAATTCATGTTGGTTTGTGTTTCAGATTAATGCAAAGATTTTATAATTTCAGAAATGGCATGATACCTCATTTTATAATTAATAAGAATTTAAATTGTATTTTACAGAAACCGTTATAGACATTCTTATTTTAAATTTTTCTCAACTGTGTGCTGTGTCATTCCAATATCAAATCACCAATGTGTTGACAAATGTCATGGAATATCTATACATGGTCAACTTTGGGCTAGTTTCTATTATGACATGGGATGAAGCAATTTCAAGGAGTTTATGGTCTAGCAATATTAGGAAAAAAGTTAAGTGGGTAACAAAAAATATGCAGCATGCACCTCCCCCTTAATTTTCCTGTCTCTAATGATCTTGATTGCTCAAGAGAGTGTCTGGCCATCAGCAGCCCATCAAAGCAGACCCAATCCTCTTAGGTTCCTAGGACAATAGTAAAAAGTATCAGATGACTAAGAGTCAGGCTTATCCTTAGCAAGTCTTGATAGACAGATGCATCTTAGGCCTTGGCAAGCATCCAATTATTTGGTCAGAATTTGTGGAATACCTTCCTATGCCAGACACAATTGTAAATACTAAGGAAATGCAAGTGAACAAAACAGCAGCTTTCCTGCTCTCATGGAGAACTGTCTTGACAAACTAAAAGTGCACATTGTGGGAAGTGCTTTGTAGGACGTGTTTCCTGAGCAAGGTAAACAATAAATAGGAAGATGACTGGTCTGTTTGGAAGCTGTGGTTTATGCAAGAAGGAAGCATTTTGAAATGAGGGTGGAGCTGTAGCCAGGCTTTCTTTGGACCACCAGCCCTCAAATAATGAGACTTATTATTAGTTATGAAAACTTGGCCTTAGCTTAGGCATGTTCCCAACTAGCTCTTATAACTTAAATTAACCTGTTCCTATTAATCTACGTTCTGCCACATGGCTCGTTACCTCTCCTCCATACTGTATATCTGAGAACCTCTGTGTATGACTAGCTTAATCCCACATGCCTCAGATTCTTCCCAAGTTCCTCTCTCTACCAAGAAGTCCTGCCTTTTCTCTCCTGCCTAGTTATTGGCCATTCAGCTCTTTACTAAACCAATCAGAAGGTGCCTTAGGCAGAGACGCATTTTGTAGTGTACAAAAAGATTATCCTTTGGAGCTGAGCAAAAACAAGGTGACATGTGTTCCTGTTGACCCTCAAAAATCTCTGAAGCCAGAAAGAACCTAAATACATATTCCAAGAAATAATGGCAACATGCATATATACCCCTAAGAAATACTCTAGGATTCAGTTTTACATTAATTTCCGTTCTATGGGGCATCTGCTTTCTCCATCTCAAATCTGGTGTCAAAACAGTGAAGGAGGTATTGAAGAGAAGTGTGTTACAAAAATACACGTTTAATCAACCAATCCTGCATTCTTTAAAATCAAATCTGATTAGCTTAAAAGAGTGAGTGGAACCAAAATAACTACCAAGCTCATGTTTCCTTTCTTCTTGAGATATAATATACAACTAAGGATCCTGGTATCCTCAGTGACTCTCTCCTTACCTAGTTTCCATGTCCACATTATAGGGACCATCTATTAACATCTTAATTTATCTCAATCAGGGCCCAGGTCTCAATTGGCTGATTCCAAAGACTCACATTTGTTGTTACATCCTTTTCTCCAAATGAGGGACAGTTGGTGCCATTTCCCAATATGTCCTCCTCTCTATTAACATTATAATACTGAGACTCAGGCACTGTTAGTTGATAGGAGAATAAGAAAAGTGGTAAATGATATGAAACACCATTCATATTTGGGGGATTAGTAAAAAGCCTTTGGATCAGGTTTTATTCTATCAATTTAGGAAAAAATATATGTAACAATAACAAAAGACAAAGGAGGCCAGGAACTTCAGAGAAAGAAGGGGGATATATAGGGAGGAAATGGAGGGGGAAATGGAAGGGGAAATGATGTAATTAGTAATTTTAAGATATTAAAAATCATTAAAAATTCTCTGGAGAAATGGACATAATTACTCTTTGTTCCTCTTCTTGCTGCAGTTCCCTGACCACAGAGACCCTTCACATCTATACTTACTTCTCCAATGCAAGTGACTGCTGGTCAGTGTGGGTATATGTAGATGTAATTCTAAATGGTCTTAGTAAATAAGAAACACATAGCCAAATAAAGAGTTAAAAGCCCAGAGATTGAGCAGTAGCCAAGAGCTAAGACCACCTTATCTTACCACTCGCTGCTGTCCTTCCCCTGAGAGAGAGACCTTCTTCCTGTGTCCTGTCTTTTTATTGCCTTTCTGTTCTGCCTTCTCATTGGCTATAAACCCAACCGCATGACTTCCTCGACACTGCCTGTCTATACAGACCTCCAGGTCTCTATGGTTCGTAATGAGATTAAAGGTGATGCCTGGTTTTCTATGTTCTTACTTGTTTTTGTTGTTGTTTGTGGTTATTTTTCAATTAGAAATTCGGCTTATGCTTTCATCATGATTAATAAAAATCTTAACCTCTGAAAAAAAAAAAA